TTCCTTACAGAAATCATTGAAATCCTTCGATACATACACTTTACCATTGTCTATTCTTAAAATCGTCAATCTTCTACCAATGCAAATACATATTGTTTTCCACCCAAGCTAGTAGTTCTAATTGGCCCAAAAAGATCTATATGGATCAATTGTAATACTCTACTAGTTGATACATCGTTAATGGATTTAAAGGAAACTTTCTTATGTTTACTTTTTGTACATGCATCACAGATTTTATCAAGATTAAATTTCAGTTTTGGAAAGCCTCTTACTAAATTGCCTTGATTTAGTCTTTGCAAAACACTTATGCTTGTATGTCCTAGTCTCCTATGCCACAAATATCATGTTCATCCTTGGTAACTAGGCATAAATTAGTCATATTAATATAATCTAAATGCATCATATAAATGTTTCCTATTCTATGACCAATAAGCATAATCCGATTAGATGCAATGTCAACAACTTTACAACCATTTGATTCAAATAAGACATTGTATCTTTTGTCACATAATTGACTAATACTTAATAGATTATGCTTTAACCCATTCACATATAACATATTTTTTATTTGTATGGAAAAGATATTACCTATAGTACCTATACCTTCAATGTAACCTTTTGAGTTGTCACCAAAGGTTACCACTCCTCCATTTTTGTCGTTAAGCTTAGTAAACTGGCTCTTGTCTCCGGTCATGTGTCTCGAGCATCCACTATCAAGGTACCATGTATTTGAGCTTGAATTTCATGCATTGAAGCAATGATCATTTTCCTACAAACATACACTAATTTTCTTCTTTTTCTCTGTCTCCTTCTTTGTATCGTCCTTCTTCTTGTGATCTACCTCATCTTGAATCATCATTTCATGAGTGATGAGAGAACCAATGAGCTCACCGAGAGTTAAAGATTTTAGGTCTTTAGCTTTGATAATTGCAATCTTCTTCGATTGCCAAGATTTTGGAAGAGAATCAATTATCTTCCTCACAAGTTTCTCGTTGGGGATTATTTCTCCAAATGCCTTGAGGCCATTGACAGTCACCGAGAATCTATCTGTCATAGCTTTGATATCTTAATCTGGTTTCATCCTGAAATTTTCATAGCTATGAGTAGGAAGACTCATTTTGGTTTTTTTACCTCGTCGGTTCCTTCATGCGTGACTTAAAGTTTGTCCCATATCTCTTTGGCGATTGAACAAGATGATATTCTCTCGTATTCATCTAGTCCAAGTGCACATAAAAGAATATGGATAGCTTTTGAGTTGAGCTGGAATAATCTCGTCTCTTTTTCACTCCATATTTCTGGATCTATAGATGGTTCAAAGTATCCTCTCATCATGATTTTCCATGCTCCCATATAACTAGCTTGAATGAAGAACTTCATCCTATTCTTCCAATAGACATAGTTAGATCCATTGAAAAAAAGAGGCTAGTTGACGGGCTGAGAATCAAGAACGAAGTCGAAGTTTAATGTAGAGGCCACTGATGACTTGAATATTAATTAAACTCTTCCCGAATCTACTCAAGAGGTGGTAAACCTTCAAATGATTGTAGCTCTGATACCAATTGTTGAGTTAATCGATCTGATGAAATAACTAAAAGGGGGTGAATTGGTAATTAAAATTTTGGTGGAAGCTTTAACAGAAAATTGAAAATATTTGCACAGCGATTTAGAGTGGTTCGACTTTCTCAACCAAAGTCTACGTCCACTACCTTAGCTATCCACACTAAGGATTTTTCACAAATTCACTAATTTGTCTTTCTTTAGTAATCTTACAACTCCCTCAAGAATTATACCCCAAATTCTTGAGAACACTCTCTCTCAAAGAGAAACTTACAAATTTTGTAAACTTACAGAAAAACCTCACAAAGTAGAATGTTTGCACAATTCTAAAACAAAGAAAGAACACTCAAAGATAAATACAATTGAGCACAAAGTGTGTTCTTGAAAGCAAAATGAATATTGAAAGGATTTTGGCTTGAATTGTTCAAACTTGAAGTTTAATGCTTTCTCTCTTATTTCTATCTCAATTCTTGTGTAATTGTTGATCATCAATGGCTTCAGAACTTATTTAAATACACCTCAAATGAATTCTGAACGTTGGAAATCTTGGTGGAGTCAATAGAGTCGTTGTGGTGTGAAATCCACTTGAAAAATCTACTAGGAGCGTATGGGTATCGATACTCCTTAATAGGGGTATCGGTACTACCTGATATAAATTTAAATATTTCGACTGTTGCAATCCAATAGTATCGATACTGGCCAAGGGGTAACGGTACTGCTTTGCAGTATCGATACCGTCCAGGGGTATCGATACTACTATGTAAAGTAGTATCGATACCAATCATGGTATCAGTACCCACATTGCATTCTGTTAAAATTCGGAGTCAAAACCAAAGAGGTAGTATCGGTACCATTGACCATGGTAACGGTACTACTATATATAGGGGTATCGGTACCACTTTGGCATTCAATGTTTGGGGGGTATCAATATTGTATAAGCAGTATCGGTACTACCCTTATGAAATCTCAATTTTGACTCGATTGTGGTTTGAAATACTTTGTAAAAATTGTTTCAAATATATTTTAAGAATAAAACTCAATTTTTCATTTAGTAATGAGTAAAATTGATATTTGAAAACTTTGGAGTAATATTTGAAATATTCAAATAATTGAATCGAATATAATATTTTAAATCGAATATAAAATCTTAAAATTGCTTAACACTTTATTTGTTATATCGAAATATCAAAATGTTTTCAACAGATATGATTTTGGACATCCAAAATCTAACATATTTTTAGGGTCTCTTATTGATAAAGTCACACTACATGGACAAAAGAAGTTTGGCAAGGACATTTCCAGTATAGCCAGAAATCCAATGAATACGAGTCAACATTTTTCCAAAATTAAAAGTTAAAACGTTAACCAAATGGAATATTCATGGGTCATAAAATGTCTAAATGAATTAGACTATATATTGTTTCCACTATGAACAATTTAAACAAATTCACAAACAATTGTGAGAGAATTTAGATGTCTTTGATATGCTCAAGATAATGGATTGCATTATTCCAAAGATCATGTTGTGTTATAAGGATACTTTGATATTAGTTTAATATATGATATTCAAGAAAACGATTATAACTAGATCCACAATGGGATCTAAGTTTGTAGCTTTAGACAGGTCTGGAGAATAAGTTAAATAGCTTTAGAATTTCTTGGAGGATATTCTTAAATGACCAAAGTGTGTGTCCACAATATTCATATACTGAAAACAAACGAAATTGATAGAACACAATTTTATGTATAATGATAAATCGAGATATATGCGTCATCGATGTAATACCGTTAGACAACTGATCTCAAATGGTGTCACTATTAATTTTATAAGATCAAAGGATAACGTTATGAATCCACTAACTGAAAAGTTAAAATCGATATCAAAGTAAAAAAAAAACATCTAAAAGAATGAGACCAAGACAATTGATCTCAAATGGTGTCACTATTAATTTTATAAGATCAAAGGATAACGTTATGAATCCACTAATTGAAAAGTTAAAATCGATATCAAAGTAAAAAAAACATCTAAAAGAATGAGACCAAGACCCATGGAAAATTTTAAGGTTAAAGGAAATCCCCACCTAATTGACTGGAGATCCCACCTAATTGCATAAATCGTGTGCGGTCACTATGAGGGTTTCTTATCCCAAGTTCGTTCTTATGATATAAATAATGATCAAATTGATATGGGTTAAGTAAAACTTTTAATGGCCACTGTGTGCTTCGATGAGCCAAGCAACATAAGTCACCTATGTGAGAGTGAAGTGGGGTCACTTCAAGGAGACTATTAGGCATAGTTCTTTCACTCTTGCAAAACCAGGCAATGTTCATGGCTTTAAAGACGTACATATGAGAATTAAATTTCTTGTCAAAAGGTAATTGTGTGAAGTATATCATCGTTTACTCAAACGGAAAAATAGTTCAAGGACATCGCATGTACTGTTTAACCAGTAAAGTAAATATACTGTCACAAGGAAAGATTTAAAGGAGGACATCTACCTAACCTATGCAACTATCGATTGTAGAATTTCACCACATTGGGTCAATGTTTTTGATACAATAATCAATTTCCTTCATGTGGGATTGTTGGAAAAAATCGATAATTTTGGAGCATTAAATGAGAAATTGATCAAAACGTTGTTGAGGAAAATGTGGAATCAACTGTTGGTTCGTACAAGTGCAAACGTGCACGATGTGGATAACGTTAATGTCCGAACTGGTCAGGCTCTTTGTAGGTTTCTGGATATTTTAATCCAAATGTATAGTCTTTTCAAAATTTGTTTTGGAATTAAATTGATAAATATTAAAAGGTCCCTTTTATCAAAACAATAATTTTGAAAATTACTTGATTGCTTGATTCTCATTAATGCTTCATTAGGTCAAAGATTTCAAATTGTTCACAATGTGAAATCCCTATACCGTGTGAACCTACTAGGTTAAATACAATTTTCAAAACAAGTCGAAACAATTCAAATAGAATTTTCTTTTCTTTTCCTCTAGTTTTTTGGTGATAGAAAAAGGCAAGGAATAGCTCGTGATCTCTTTAACAGTGCAACTATAATTGATCATCTAGTTATGGTGGTATCCTGTGAGACAGACGACCAACGATCTCAAGCACCATAAGAGTGGTAAAAAATTTGTCTTAAGGAAACTGCATAGCTACATGCCTCAACTCATTTCTAATAAGTTGTTTCTCAAAAATGTGTATTTATTTCTATACTAATTTTTTCGATTATTCATAAAATATTTTATTTTTATTTTCTTTTCATCTCGGGTTGTTATACTTGTGACAGATATGTTTGATGATTTTTCCATATAGGCCAAACGATTGACCCCGTAAATTTTTTATGGAAAAGTTTTCCTATATTATGCAAACTAGATTATATATATATATTACCTGTTTTATCATCTTACTTGTTGGTTACTTATATGGAGCTATCCAGAAAATCATGTGGAAGCTAAACAAGTCGATTGCAAAAGAATTATTACCTACCCAACCTGTGGACTTTTCCATTGAACCTTGGTGGTGTATTTGTCTTGTTAAGTTTACAGTGGAAGAGTTTAAGGTGAGGTTCCTGACGGTTCTTTGTCTTACTATCTAAAGAGTGTCATCAGTTCAGCTTGATATTATTCCTGTTCAGTTAATCTAATTGTCTTTGGTAGTCTAATATGCATCTTCACATTTCTTTGTTTATTTTATAGAAACTTTCAGAAGACGAAAAAGCGATGGTAAATAAAATCTGCAGGGAAGAAGCTAATGCATTTGTTCATTTTGATCCTGACATTATAAAAGCTCTTTATCGACGGGGATTAGTCTATTTTGAAGTTCCTGTATATCCAGATGACCGTATTAAAGGTTAGCTGTTTGCTTTCGTACTCTCTGCCAACGTAGGATCTCTACATTTATGTCTTTAGCTCTTCAAATAATTAAATTTGAAAGTACTATACACTACAAGGGCCTAAATAAACTCACTCTTATTATTTACTTTTTATGCATTTTTTTTTATTTTTATGAGTATCTTTTATGCCTAATAAACATGAATATTAAATATTAGCTTTCTTAGAAAGTTGGATTTTATTTTGCGTTTCTCTACTATTTTCATCTTCAAACTCAAGATTTTATTGAAACCATGTCTTTTAATCGATCTCTCCCGAAGCCACATCCAAGCATTCTGCTTGGGATCTCTGTAATGTTTCCCTAAAAATATGACACTTAACATAGACTCTGCCTTTTTCTCTATTTTTTTTTCTTTAGGATGTTTTATGTGTAGCTGTTTATTTTATTGCAAGTTCTCTAGTGTTTAGTTTTATGTATGTTTCTTCTGCTTAAATGTGTTTTGAATTTTTAAACGGAATGGCAAGGTACTTGGCCGCCTCTATTTGAGTCCTTTTTTGTTTTTGAATCAAGTTATTAATACTATTGTAGTTCAGTTTTTAGACTTGAAGGATTCATTTCAAACAAGGAGCAATCTTATGAGGATCCTATCGAGGAGTAAGTTACTCTTTGATATTTTGGTCATTCTGTGTCCTTTAACAGCAATGTAACTTGGATTTTCTTAATTCTAGTAACTGCTCTGTTCAGGTTGCTATATGCAGTTTTTGTTGTTTCAAGTGAGCATGCTACTATTGCAGAGTTGGCATCAACTTTACAGGCGGATCTTAGGATACTGCAGGCTGCTGCATCTTTTGTTTGCCGCTTGGGATGGGCACAAAAAGTAATTGACCCAGCATATGTTCTTCAAGAAAACACAATGGTACCTCATGGTGTCACCCTAACAGATGAAGAAGGATCCTCTCGTCGTAGTTCAACCTCAGCAAATGTGTCTATTGATGGTGGTGACATTGCTCTTCAAGGAGATTTTTGGGGGACAGAAAACTATGCGTCACGTTCTTGTGATGCTCGGGTTGCTTTTGTTGTTGATGCTAACATAACATCTTATCTTATGATGGGCTCTGTTTCACCAGGTTGGTTACCTTTTATTTTCACCCTTTCAAATGCCTAGTTTTTATGTCGCAATCCCAGATAGCGTTCTCCTGTTGGGCATCATAACCATTAATGCAAAATAAGCGAATTATCAACTTAGATTGAATTTTGAAGTATTTGTTATTCTATGATACTGGTATCATAGGGGAGGAATACACACATTCATGTCATTCTAGTTTGCACGTGATGATGATTAGACAGGTGTCACGATAGTAGGGGAGAAGGGTGAATTGACGGGAAGGAATTGGGGATTAGCAAAGAGGGGTTAGGGATTTCATCTGCTGAATTAGGGATTGTATCACGAAAGGGGGCACGTGAGAGGCACGGGTGAAATTAAACCAAGGAGCTCAATTTCAACATGTGGGAGAATGGAGGGAAGCCCAATTGTGGAGCCCAAGAAGGATAAGATGATACCAACGCAGGCAGTTAGATTGTTTTGTACAGGACTGCCAATTGGATTAATTTAGAGAAATCAATACCAATAAAGAAATAAAACACTGTACTGCAAGGGATTACTAATGAAATTACTAATGAAATTACTAATGAAATTAGACCAAGGAGCTCAATTTCAACATGTGGGAGAATGGAGGGAAGCCCAATTGTGGAGCCCAAGAAGGATAAGATGATACCAACGCAGGCAGTTAGATTGTTTTGTACAGGACTGTCAATTGGATTAATTTAGAGAAATCAATACCAATAAAGAAATAAAACACTGTACTGCAAGGTATTACTAATGAAATTGCTGAATGACAGATTTTCTTCTTCTGAAACCTATTTCTCTTTTCTCTCTTCTCTCGTCTTCTCTCTTGTTCATACTAAAATCATTACAATTGTTATCTAGAACAATCATTCCCGGCAACTGATGATCGGGTATGCCAAAGAGGAATCCTCCAATGGTAGAATTTCCCGAGGTCTCTGCAATACAGAAAAAACTTGAAGAATTAGCTATGTTGGTCGACGAATGACAAAATGAATCCTCCCAAGTGGTGGGAAGCACCAGATAACAGAATGAACACCCTGGCAGTCCAGGATGAATACCAACCAAGGTTATGTCAAGCAGATTTTGGGTATTCTGACAGGAAGGGGTTAAGGGCAAGAGCCAAACAACTCAGACAGTGACCAAGTAAGAACACTTGAACCCTCTAAAAATAGTGGCAAAAAACCTGTAACTATGACTGTGATTAATGAGAAGTCACATTTTTCTTACCAACCAAATGAACCGAAGATACTTAAAACGAAACCTGATGAAATTCAAAAGAACCAGTAAAACCAAATGATAGACCTGATTGTTGGAGATACTAGTGCAAATAGAGGGATTCAAGGAACATGTGTGGAGGAAAGCAAAGGATAAGGAGGTTCCTTTAGTAGTTTGGGAGCCATGGTACCAAGACCAAGGGAGGAGTTGCCTATTTTTGAAGGGGTTAATGCTAAGGGTTGGATTCAAAAATGCCGCAAGTTTTTTTTTCATTTTTATGGAATTTCAGATGAGGAGAAAGTTGAGATGGCTGTAATGCACTTGGGAGAAAGGCCGAAACGTGGTTCGATGGATATATTTTACAAAAACACAGAGTGCAGTGGAATGAAGTTGAAGCTGATATTTGTCACCGATTCAATGATAAATCCTTTCTAGACATCATTGATGAATACAATAAATTAATGCAAAAGGGTACAATTGATGAAATACTAAGAAAGATTCGAGAAGCTTCAACCTTATATACTGTTACAGAACCCTACTTTGGGAGAAGAATTTTTTGTCTCTCTCTTTATCAGTAGCTTGAAAGAGGACATCATGCACAAGGTTAAGGCATTCAACCCTAGAGTATTGTCAGAAGCATGTAGGCAAGCCAAGCTTTATGAGATATCCATTGAGTTCGAAACTAGGATGAAGAAGCCCAGCTTTAAAAAACCAACCCACCCAACCCAGACCACATTTTCCAGACCAATACAGACACCATCTTCACCTAAAACCCACCCTCCCAACCCACAAAAACAACAAAACCTCATTGATTACAGACGCTTGAACAACCTATGTTTTAAGTTTAGGGAAAAAAATTTCCCTTGTCACCAATACATTCAGTGTCAATTGCACTTAATGGAGAAAGATCTTAGTACTGAAGAAGAGAGAATACAAAACTAGGAGCTTGAGAATTTTGACCAGCAACCCGAAGAAACCTTGGAAATTTCTGTTAATGTATTGACTGGCAGTACCGGGCATAACACATTGTGCATTCAAGGGATGTTAAAAGGGAAACCCTTGAGTATTATAATTGATAGTGGGAGTACCCACAGTTTCCTCACTCATTGCTTAGCTAAGAAAGGTGTTGAATTGGTGACTACACATCCCCTGTCTATCACGGTTGCTAATGGAGAAAATTTATTAACTCTGCTAAATCCAATCAGGTTACTTAAAGTATGCACGATCAATATTTTACTCACTATTTTAGAGTTTTGATTCTTGGGAGAAGTGATATGGTTATATTGGATGAAGTGTTTCAGCCCGATTTTGATGAACTTTAAAAATATTACTTTGACTTTCGAGAATGAAGGTCAGTTGATTGTCATTCAAGGTCAGAAAAGCTCATTAAATCTACAAGCGGTAACAAAATCGCAAATCCAAAAGATGCTAGCTAAGGATTCTAATCTTCTTGGGGAATTCTATTCGGTGGCTGTCGAGAGTTCTACCTCTTTTATTCCAGAGGAATTACAACCTCTGGTCAAGGAATTTAGTGTGGTTTTTGATGAACCTAAGTCCTTCCTCCGCCTAGACTTAATGATCACAATATTCCACTTATACTGGGTTCCACACCAATCAACCTACACCATTACAAATTTCCTCATCACCAGAAGAATGAGGTTGAAACACAAATTTCAAACATGTTGGTTGCCTCCATTATTCAAGCTAGTAAGAGTCCATTTGCCTCTCCATGACTATTGGTTCACAAAAAGACAGTACTTGATGATTTTTTGTGGACTACCGTCAGCTTAATAACCAGACCATCAAAAACAAATTCCCAATTCCTGTTGTTGAAGATCTCATGGATGAACTGCATGGGACATTATATATTTTAAAAAATGGACTTACGATCCGGGTACTGGCAGATTCGGATTGCACCAAAAGACATCTATAAAACAGCTTTCCGAACACACCATAGGCACTTCGAGTTTAAGGTAATGCCTTTCGGCCTTACTAACGCTCCTACTACTTTCCAATCCCTCATGAATGATTTATTTAACCCCTATCTTCAAAAGTTTGTGCTAGTTTTCTTTGATGATATTTGGTGTAGAGCCCTACATTATCGAACCATAGTGACTATTTAAGGGTGGTTTTACAAACTTTAAAAGACAATCAACTTTATGCAAAGAGGTCCAAATGTTTTTTTTTGGCCAAACTCAGTTGGACGATTTAGGGCACATTATTTCAGCTTCGGGGGTGTCCTCTGGTCCTGCTAAGGTCCTTGCAATGAAACAATGGCCTTTACCTAAAAACCTAAAATCCCTTCGAGGTTTTTTAGGACTCATGGGGTATTACAGATAGTTTATCAAAGGCTATGGACAGAGCAGTCGACCCTTAACTCAAATGTTGAAGAAGGAAATATTCAGATGGTCACCTAAAGGAATAGCTGCCTTTCATCAGTTGAAAGAAGCTATATGTATTGCTCCAGCATTGGCCTTAACCCGATTTTTCTAATGTTTTTTATTTGGAAACTGATGCAAATTTGAAAGGGATTGGTAAGGTTTTATCTCAAGATGAGCGACCACTTGCTTACTTGAGTAAATCCTTAAGTCTTAGGCATGCTAATTTGACAATCTATGAACCCGAATACTTGGCTATTTTATTAGCAGTATCGAAGTGGAGGCATTACCTGGAAGCGGGCCCTTTGTAGTTAAGACAGAGCATGAAACCCTAAAATTTCTCTTAGAGAAAAAACTCACAACAATAATTTAGAAGCGAGGGTTAACTAAATTACTTTGATTTAATTATATAATCAAGTACCGAAAGGGGAAATCAAACATTGTGGTTGATGGACTCTCACATCAGTTTGAAGAACATGTTACTTATGATATGACGGTGACATCCATTGTTCCTAATTGGGTGAGTGATATCGAAGGTGGGTATAAAAATGATCCTTTAGCTACTGAGTGGATTTTTACACTTTCAATTACCCCTAATGTTGATGCAAAGTGGAAATATTCTAGAGGTATTTTGAGATGCTGCAACGGAGTTTACATTGGAGAAACTGGGAGCTTCCGATTACACATTCTGCAGACACTACATGACTCACCACAGGGTGGACATTCGGGAACACAAGCTACTTATCAGCGGGTGAAGAGTTATTTCTATTGGCCACGATTGAAATCTATAGTAAATACCTATGCTCAGCACTGTGGCATTTGTCAACGAATCAAAGTAGAACATGTGGCCAAGCCATGTCTTCTACAACCTCTACCAATTTTTAATCAAGCTAGGGAGGTAGTCACAATGGACTTCATCGAGGGGTTGCGTAAGTCCTTGAACAAGAGTTGCATCCTAGTTGTCGTCGAAAAATTTACTAAGTATGCCCATTTCATGGCCCTGTCACATCCCTATACAGCCTTGGAGGTTACCAAACTATATCTTGATATTGTTTATAAACTCCATGGATAGCCCACTACAGCTATTTTTGACCGTGACAAAACCTTTACTAGCAGCTTTTGGAAGTAGTTAATGAGGCAATTGGGAACAACCACTTTGTATGGCAAACCTTACCACCCAGAAATGGATGGTCAAACCGAACGGGTCTATCAGTGCCTAGAACAGTACCTACGGGGGTTGTGTTTCCTAAAACCTAACCGATGGCAAGGTGGCTACCTCACAATGAGTGGTGGTACAATACCACTTATCATACTTGATGAAAATAACCCTTTCCGAAGCCCTTTATGGCTATAAACCCCCGACTATGGCTTGGCTATCAGAATCACAAATCAAGAGTGTTAATAACATGCTGAAGGATTGTGAGGAGTTAAGATTGATCGTGAAAGAACAATTACAACAGGCCCAACACAGAATAAAACAACAAGCAGATAAACATCGATCTGAATAATAATTTACAGTAGGCGAAGAGGCTTAACTGAAGATCCAACCACATCGACAAATTTCCTTGGCAGTAAAGAAGAATATCTAGTTAGCACCAAAGTACTATGGGCCATATAAGATACTGGAAAAGATAGGGGAAGTTGCTTACCGCTTGGACTTACCAGCTGATTGCCATATACATCCCGTTTTTCACGTCAGTTTGTTGAAGAAGAAACTCGGGGATAGGGTTGTTCCAACTCTCACTCCACCTACGGTTGACACACACGGTCAGTTCAAAGTCTACCCTTGAAGATTTTGGATCGAAGAATAATCAAACATTAAGACAAACATGTTACTCAGTTGCTTGTGCGTTGGACAAATCTTGATGAAACCCACGACTCTTGGGAAGATTTTACAGTTCTCCAGACTCGGTTTCCTGCATTCGATCCTTGGGGTCAAGGATCCTTTCAAGGGCGGGGTAATGTCACGGTAGTAGGGGGAGAAGGAAGAATTGACGGGAAGGAATTGGGGGTTGGCAAAGAGGGTTTAGGGATTTCATCTGCTGAATTAGGGATTTGTATCAGGAAAGGGGGGACGTGAGAGGCACAGGTGAAATTAGACCAAGGAGCTCGATTTCAGCATGTGTGGGAGAATGGAGGGAATCCCAAATGTGGAGCCCAAGAAGGATGAGAAGGATACCAACGCAGGCAGTTAGATTGTTTTGTACTGGACTGCCAGCTGGCTTAATTTAGAGAAATCAGTACCATGTAAAGAAATAAACAATGAACTGCAAGGGATTACTCATGAAATTGCTGAATGAAAGATTTTCTTCTTTTGAAACCTGTTTCTCTTTTCTCTCTTCTCTCGTCTTCTCTCTTGTTCGTCCCAAAACCATTACAACAGGCATCTGTGTTGCATGTAATAATTTATCACTGTTGATTGTTCTCTGCATCTACATGTACTTGTTGTTTCCTCTTCTCTAACATAATTTATATGTCCTCTCACTGCAATTTTTGCAGGGTTGAAATCTCATGCTGTGACGTTATATGAAGCAGGGAAACTAGGCCATGCTAGCATTGCAGATCTTTGTAAAGACCTAAGCACGTTGGAGGGTACAAAATTTGAGGGAGTGTTGCAAGAATTTGCAAATCATGCGTATAGTCTTCGTTGTGTCTTGGAGTGTCTACTATCTGGTGGTGTTGCTGCTGATACTAGAGCTACGGAAGTTGTTGATAGAATAAGAATGCCGACTTCAGGCTATGATGAGTCTAGTGCAGTAGCTGACGTGTCATTGACTGAATTATCGGAGCAATCTTCTTCTAATGAAGCTGAACAAAACGTTACTGGTAACAATAACTTAGAAACTTCACAGGAAGATTCTCTTTTTGATAACTCTGCACTTGAAACCGCCGGTGATGATGAATCTGCTACCCTATCAGAAGATGGTAAGTTCTCGAGTGAGGTTTCCAAGTCTGACCTGAAAATTAATGTCCATAATGGTGGGAAAGCAATACATACGGAAGGATCTGACGTAGGAAAAGGAACTCCAAGGAAGAGAAAGAAATATCGAGTGGATATCCTCCGCTGTGAAAGCTTGGCTTCTCTGCCAAAGGCAACCTTAGATCGGTTATTTCTTCGTGACTATGATATTATTCTATCTATTATTCCTCTTCCACATTCATGTGTTCTTCCTGGACCTGCAGGTCCTATTCATTTTGGTCCTCCCTCTCACTCATCAATGACACCTTGGATGAAATTGGTGCTATATTCAACAGTGGCTAGTGGACCTTTATCGGTTGTTCTGATGAAAGGACTATGTCTACGAATGTTACCTGCACCATTAGCCGGTTGTGAAAAGGCCCTTATATGGTCGTGGGATGGTTCAGTAATTGGAAGCTCGAATGAACAGTCTGAAGGAGATTTAGTTAATGGAAGCATACTTTTATACTGTTTGAATTCGATTCTCAAATTTTCTGCTGTTATAGTGCAGCCCTTCAGCAGATATGACCTTGATGGTTCTGGAAAAGTTGTTACTGTTGACATACCCTTGCCCATTACGAACTCCAATGGCTCAGTTGCTCATGTTGGGGACAAGCTAGGGCTATCTGCAAAGGAACATTTGAAATTGAATGATATAGTAACAGCTTTGGCTCAGAGGATAGAGTTACGGACGGTTGGTTACATTCGCTTACTAAAACTTTTTAAAGAAACCAAATCGGATAATTTTGTTCCCGACCAGAAGTATGAATGGGTTCCACTGACTATTGAGTTTGGGATCCCACTTTTCAACCCTAAACTCTGCAATAATATATGTGAAAGGATTGTCACGTCCGGGTTGCTTCAAGCAGATTCACTTACTCAGCATCATGAATCAATGCAAAGGACTCATAGAAAGTTGCGTGAGTTTTGTGCAGAGTATCAAGCAACCGGTCCTGCAGCAAAACTTCTCTACCTAAAGGATCAGCAGCAAATGGATGGCTCCAAGGATTCAGAGTATATCACCAACCATCCTGGTAGTGGAAAGTGGAATTCAATGGTGAACCCTTCTCCCATTTCTGGAGCATCTAGTGAGCAACAAAGACTTAAACTAGCCCATCGGCACCGTAGTCGGACCGAATTTTTGAGCTTTGATGGTAGCATTCTTAGGTCTGTCAAAGCACTCTCCTTTTTCTTCTCATGCGTATTCGGTTGTGCTTATTTTGTGGTGGCGTTGAAATATATCTACAGGTCATATGCCGTGGCTCCTGTTGAAGATCCTTCCCAAGTAACTGCACCAAAAGTCGATCTCGATGAATCTGACAGCAATGAAGTAATCCTTCCTGGTGTTAACCTTATTTTTGATGGTGCAGAGTTGAATCCCTTCGATATCGCGGCTAGCCTGCAGGCCGGCCAGCCGATTTCATTAATAGCAGAGGCAGCTGCAGCCTCAACGTCTTTTGCATTTAATTAAACAGGTGAATATGAGAAGTTTATGATTTGAATATTTGTCGTCCGTATATTGGCGGCTTCAAGACACTCGATTTTTACAAGCTACAAGATAGTTTCATTTTTTTCATTGTCTTCCCCCCCCCCCGGAAAATGTAGAAACAGTTTTAGCATCAAATGTTATATATAAGACGACGACTTCTTCATAATCTTACGCTAATTCTTTTGTATTTATTATAGAATCCCCTTTTCACTTTGATTTTGGTAAAATTTTGTTAATCAATCCGGTTTAGCATTAAATGAATATAATACTAATTTCAACTTCATGTTATTGTTACGGGATTAGAGTTCCGACTAACTGGTTCATGTGGCCTTAGATGTTTTTTTGGTTGAATGAGCGCTTAAATAAACGTTCACCACGTTCTTATGAGACTTTAAATTCACCAAGAGAAAAATAAACCCTTTAGGGTTGAATAATACGTGGAAGCGTAACACTAACACTATCAGGGCTATTCAAGTCACCAAGAGAGCCAACAAAGCACAATGAGACTGAGAAGCAAAGTGACAATAGAGAACTTAGAGTAAATACCTGAATTATATTACTCTGAAAGAATAGAATTAATCAAGTGAGTACAAATGACGTTGTGAGCCTCTTTATTTATAGTGAAAGTCCCCTACATCCAATGGTCTAAATTAAATTACATCGAAGATTAAGATCGAATCTCACCTAACAAATTTCTTATCTTATCTAAAGAATTCAAATTAAAATCAAACATTATCTAAATTATTCCTTTAATTTAAGTAATTATCTTCCTAAATTAAACAATTAAAAAATATGTTTTATCCTCTAATGTCAAGCCTAGTATAGTGGTCTAGGCAAGTCCAATATTTTATACAAAACATTTTTTATGGATATTTAAGCACACGTCTTGAACCTAAATTTGCGGAACATGATATTCTCTCCCACTGAATACAGTGATGCCCTCATCGTTCCACTGGAACGTTCTTAGACTTAATTACCCTGGATACTCATCAGTGCCTTGCTTGTTGTGGCCCCCCATATGAACTGTTTGACCAAGCTTTTGCCTCTATGTAACACGACATTCTACCTTGTCATTGTGTACAACTCAGTCGTAGGAACCTCGTCCTACCCGTCTTAATTTGCCTCGACTTTGATTCCCTCAATCCTTCAGCAAAGACTTTGGTATCTTCTTTCAACCTTTGGTCCCTCCACATTGATAGGTAGGTTATCTCGACTCACACTCATTGAAGATTACAATTAAAGTTGGGAGTGAGGAGTTTAATGGTGATTGAGATCGAGCTTTTGTCTTGAGAGTTTAAGAAATGACTAAAATATCCATAGATGGTTAAAATTACTAAATTACCCTTATGGACTACGTAAATGAAATAACTTGTGTTGGTAAGAGTTTGAGTTGCAAAGTGATTGAATAATGATGTGAGACTTGAGTGAGAAGCCAAAAAATGTTATAATTTATTAAGAATGAGAAGATTAATGATACTTGAATAATAATATGAATGAGTAATAATGAGGTGATTAATGACATGAGATGAGATGTTTAACTCTAAAGTGACAACTCGATAATGGAGACTCAGTAATGATAACGTGATATGTATCGTAATCATTATAATCTTATGTGATAAGATTTCATAAGACTTATTCTCTTGTTTTACACTAGAGAAACAATGAGGACACCATAGTTACTTATGTATGACGATCGTCTATTGTGTTTGATAGTTATGTATGATGGGTTATTCATATATCCTAAAAGACGTGCCAAATTACAAAATGTATTTTAGTTGGATGCAACTCTAAGCGTCTATGATCTAAACTCATCCATTACTCTAGAGAAGTAGGCTAGTTGGTGTACATTGCTAATGTAGAGGTGACCTACGTCTTACTCAAGGTACTAGTCATGTGAGGCCACTAGATGTACGTTCTTGATGCGATTGTGATCCAAGTTGTATCCCGAATCGCTATGAAATACAATAATTAAAAAAAAAAACAGAAAAGTTAACAATGCTAAGGTCATCAGTTAAGGAACGAGGAACTTGATCGGGAAGAGACTCTTACGGAGGGTAGTGTTCGAGGCCGTTTTCTTCGATGGCATTGAGCCGTTTAACGGGAAGCTTGTCCAAGGAGACTTCAAGGTTTCCGTCCATTTCTTTTTCCCGTAAAATCCGAGAGGAAATTTTAAGTATGAAGAACGTAGAAGAAAGCGCTGGTTTCAGTTTTAGAGCTCATACTCGATAGTTGATGAGATTGAATAGGCGAAACATTTATTTTACCGCTGGAGTTTTAGGTGATGTTTGTTTTTGTAAAGGTAAAATGTTTGTAGTCTGCGGATCATATTTGTAGGCATCTATAGCAGAAGAGTTGCATCAAAAGTGTGCAGTCTGTAAAAAGAAGACTGTTTGTTTTTTAACGTCTGCAGACTACTAAAATGAACTAAAATATAAATAAACTGATTTTTTAAACTTAAAAGAGTTTTGTAATACTGAGATTTAAATAATTTTAGTTTTACAATACTAAAATTTAAATAATCCATACAACTACAATAATAAATTATTTAAAATAAATCAATCCATATTATAAAATAAATTAATACATACTAATAAATTATTTAAAATAAATCAATCCATACAATTATTTAAAATAAATCAATCCATATTTTAAAATAAATCAATCCATACTAATAAATTATTTAAAATAAATCAATCCATATTTTAAAATAAATCAATCCATACTAATAAATTATTTAAAATAAATCAATCCATATTTTAAAATAAATCAATACATACTAATAAATTATTTAAAATAAATCAATTCATACAACTACAATAATAAATCAATCTATATTTTAAAATAAATCAATATATACTAATAAATTATTTAAAATAAATCAATCCAAATTTTAAAATAAATCAATCCATATTTTAAAATAAATCAATCTATACTAATAAATTATTTAAAATAAATCATTCCATACTAATAAATTATTTAAAATAAATCAATCCATATTTTAAAATAATCCAATACATACTAATAAATTATTTAAAATAAATCAATCCATACAACTATAATAATAAATCAATCTATATTTAAAAATAAATAAATCCATACAACTACAATAATAAATTAATCCATATTTTAAAATAAATCAATTCATACTAATAAATTATTTAAAATAAATCAATCCATACTAATAAATTATTTAAAATAAATCAATCCATATTTTAAAATAAATCAATTCATACTAATAAATTATTTAAAATAAATCAATCCATATTTTAAAATAAATCAATTCATACTAATAAATTATTTAAAATAAATCAATTCATACTAATAAATTATTTAAAATAAATCAATCCATACAACTACAATAATAAATCAATCCATATTTTAAAATAAATCAATCCATACTAATAAATTATTTAAAATAAATTATTTTAAAATAAATCAATCTATATTTTATAATAATTTATTTTAAAATAATTTATTTTATAATACTTTATTTTAAAATAAATAACCTTATTAAATTATTTAAAATTATTTTAATAAATAATCATATTTTATAATTGTTCTTGAAGAGATTTGAAGACATAAAACTATGTCTGCACCAAAAAGAGCTTGCGCAGACGTTAGAAGAGCTTTGTCTTCTAAAAAATAAACGGTCTGCGAAACCTAATGTCTGCGTGTGGTCTGCGCGGCGCAGATATAAGAGGTTTGAAGAGGTTATACAGTGAAAACAAACTAAGCCTTAGTATGAAGTATGAACTGATGAATAAATAGGTGAGGTTACTTGGGCCCGGTATAAACAAAGGTTAGGTCTGACTGGGCCTCAGTTCGTATACATGGATGCAAACGTCATACAAATTAACCCAATTAATTGAATTATTGGTTAATTTAATTAATTGAATTATTGATTAATTTGATTCAAAATTTATTGATTTAGATTAATTGTTTTTGTAATTTCATATTATTTATCAATCAATTAGTTTAAATTTAAATTAATAGATAATCAAATCTATTTTTTTAATCATTCAAAGATTTAATATCTAATTATCCAATCGAGTAATCAAATTAAATTTTGATTTGATCAATTAATTAAGTTAAATCTAAATAATAAACACCCATATTAATTCAGGGCATTGCCATCACAGTTTATTGTTGGTAAGGCATGATTTCTTCTTCTTTTCTTTTTAATTAATCTAGAGTGATTATAAGTGGTAGTACTTGTTCTAGAGATTCTTAACCATTTAACAATAACTACTTAAATACCTTGAGTTGTTAGTATTGAAACTCATAACCTCTAAGAATAAAAAATTAACCATCATCTTTGACCGTGCTCCAGGCATGATTTAAACATTGGATTTGGGGTAATTTTGTTTACATAATTTATTCAGCTGGATGATTTTTTGTTTACATAATTTATTCAAATGGATGATAATGTACCACCTGACTAGTTATGACCTCCAGCAAGGAACAAATTAAGATGCAAAGATATGGATAGGACCACAGAGATTTTATGCATTAGCAAACTTTGAACCCCTTAAGAGTTGAGACCAGTCAACACTAAAACTCTTTGTATAGCTGCGGTGCACTAGAGTAGCTAAACACCAACGCCAGCTCTTCTCTCGCATGTTTTTTTCCCCTTCTTTGTAGACTTTTCTACGCAAACTCTGATAAAACGTCATATACCTACGCCTACTATATTTTGCTTACGTTGAGATTAATCGCTGAAATTCAATAATCTATGGGGCATTCAACGGTGGACGTACGCGTTACGTGCATTTGGAGATTAATGATAAACCCAAGAAACATATATCTAAAACCGACGTCGAACCTATGTAACGATTATCTGAATTCTGAAGTAGATAGCGTAGTGCATGCAGTAATATTGAATAGATTAAAATCTTATCCAACTTACTATTTCAATATAAGAAACTTTGAACGCCTCTGTTTGGGTTGAACAAAATTAAACGTGGAGAGTTTTCAGGAGTAGATAGTACTAGAATTTTTGCTGAAAGCCTGAACAAACTTGGATTGCAATACCATGCTTGAAGAATCAAACAAACACATGTTGTCAACCAAAGGGAAGTAAAAAACCAATTTGCTTCTCTTGACAAGTAAGAAACTTGTCTCATCGGAACCAACTGTCCGATGGAGTTTTAGTTTTCGTAGTACATGTCTTTCCATGGTCAAACAAATTGTCCCATCAGACCCGGAGCCGTCATAATGGCCAGCATCATCCACCATATTAGGAGATTATTTTTATTATGGGGACGTAATTATAAATTGTAAAAAGAATATGATGACTTTATTGAAAAATTTAATAATTAAATTAATATTTTTTTTAAAAATAATATATTTATTTGAACATTTTTATTTAAAAACATATTTCACAGTTTCTTTAAAAATTGGATATTAATAAGATAATATTCTATTATTTAAAATTTTATAATCCATTAAAAATGGGAATACATTATTTTTAAATTTATATTCGATTAAAATATAAATATATTGTTTACAATTTTATATTTGAGTAAAATATGGTATTGTAATTCCGGAAGTATTGCTATACCTTAATTTTAATCCTATGTTATTTTCTATGATAAATCCCTATAAATATTGTGCAAACTTTTTGGGTTAAACATAATTCAAGAACTTGAGACAACTTGAAAGGAAAAAAAAAATTTCTCCTCATCTAGTTTTTGGTGTTAGATAAGGGAAAGTGTATAATTCATGATCTCTACCGCTATAATATTGTAGTTAATTATCTAGTTATTATATCATGTGGGAACAGAAGACTAATAATCTTAAGCATTAAGGAGTGGTCAAAATTTTATCTTAAGGAACCTGAGTAGCTACACATCTCAATTTATTTACAATAATTTATTCCATACAAAATCAAGCATTTTTTCTATATCATTATCTTTTAAATATTTAATATAATTTTTAATTTATTTCAGTGTCTTGAATTGTTATATCTTCTACCATAAATTTACAAAAATAAGTGTATATATGCAATTACTTGTCAAATTTTACATTGAACCTTTTCAACATAGAATCTATGTGTGACCGTTTAATGACAAGATACGGATAAATATGGAATTAACCAAACTTGGAAGAAAGACAAAACATTCAGCTTTTGGTCTTTATAAATGTATCGAGCGATGTCCGATCTCATCATCTTTATCAAATCTTCTTTAACTTCCATTTCTTAACAACCTCTGCTGCATATAGAAAACAATACAACAGTTGTTTACGTTGTTCGTTATTGTTTAGCTCGAGCCGAAGAATTCCAGGAAGAAAAAAAATGGAGAATCCTCTACAGCTGAAGTGCTTGAATCACGTTTCACTATCGTGTAGATCAGTTGAGAAATCCGTGGAGTTCTATCAGGATGTTCTAGGGTTTTTTCCCATCAAGAGACCCGGTTCCCTTGATTTCTCTGGTGCATGGTAATTTAAATTTAATTCCACCAGCAAGATTCTTTAAACCATTTGCATTCTTGTCATTCTTTTTGGGTTAAAGTATTGATTCCTAGTGTTGTGATTGGATAGGCTGTTCAGCTATGGCATTGGTATCCATCTTCTCCGATCAGAAAATCCTGAAAGCATGCCTAAGATTGGACGTATTAATCCTAAGAACAATCATATTTCTTTCCAGGTATTTTTATATACTGCATATGCTAACAATACATGAATATTGGAGGGAATACGTTCTTATAGAAATTAATCAATTGCAGTGCCAGTGCGATAGCATGGCGACACTGGAGAACATATTGAAAGAGCTGAATATAGAATACGCAAAGGGTAGTGTAGAAGAAGGTGGAATCCGAGTCGATCAACTCTTCTTTCACGATCCCGACGGTAACATGATTGAGCTATGCAACTGCGACAACCTACCTGTAATTCCGCTGCCCGTCGCTGCTAACCAGTCATGTTCTCTGACCAACTGCAACGCACAACGACAACGGCAGCAACAGAAACAACTACAGCAGCAGAAGATTGAGCATTCAGTAGAAATCTAGTGGTTTATGTGCTGAAACTCTGCCTTGTTAACATGTTTATTTATTTATTTATTTTTTTGCCACATGAATTCAAGATTCATTTGAGCCTGTCAGGCTTATGTGCTGGAACTGTTCCAGTCAGTGATATAGGAAGAGTTTTCCCCCCCAATCAACTGCCATCCTAATATATTGTTTACTGTGTCGAGATTTGAGGGCGTCACAATATTCCAACAGAACAAGGGGGACCATTAACAGCTTTGGAAGCTCAAGGCCCAAATGAAAAAATGAAGTTAAAATTATTAGAATTATTCTTAAGATAAACAACCAAAATCCAAAGACTTCAATCAACATTCATGTCATCGAAACATGTAGGTATATGATTGCATAATTTTACGGTTCATGGCTTCGATCGCTTGTCTCCAAAGACCAATGTCATGAGGGGCCATTCTTGTAGATCATGTCATTGCCTCCAAATCACATATATAAGATACTGAAGAATATTATCCTCCATATCTTTATTTATTTATTGGCATTTGTTCAGAATTCATCGACTTTGATTCACGGACTCCAATTCAGTCCATAACCCAATAAGTAATAATCATTGAGCATTTGAACAAGTGAAATATCAACTAAGAAATTTTTATATATATAATAAATTACGGACTCACCTTTTAACTTTGCAAAGCAAGAAGAAAGCAAATCCTGATGCACATGCTTCGCCCATGCTTCGAAGTCAATTCCACTGAAATCGAGAGAACGTTGCAATGTGAAGCGTGCTAGTCATGAAACAAAAAATAATGCAGGCTTTTCTCTCCTTTAGTTTAATAGCCGACTACTGACATGTTAATAAATAGGAGGGCTAAATCTTAATCTATGTGATCCAATCATACAAGTGATTGAAATAAATAAAAATAATTCGAGGTAAATTATAAATTATTCTAGGCAGAGCCAAAATCACACCTATATAGTTGTATTAGTTGGAACATAATTTCTTAATAGATTGAAAACTCATAATCTATTATTAGTTGATCACCGCTAGTCTGCCTTTTATTATCAGAATTATACTCATCGTATTTTTTTCCCTCTAGATTCTGAATCGACCAATGTCTTGCACTTAGTTTTGATGTGTGAGCCTCTTAATGAAGATTTTTTACATACACGAAAACTCTAACCTAAGACCTCACTTAAACGACATCAAATTGCTTACCACTTAAACCAATCTTATTAGTTAAAATTATACTCATCATATTTTAGTTGTAATTTTATCTTAATTTTTCGTCTAATCTACAAAGTATAATCCCAACACAAATATAATCATTTGAAAGTGACAGTTCCGTAGGTAGCCTAATGGAAGATCCCCATGTGGGTGCCGGCTCTTCACAAAACAACACTTTGGAGACAAATATCCCCCCCAAAAATAAAAACTCTAAATTAACTCTAACCCAGACAGTCAGACCGTACCTTGAATGTTAGAGAAAAAGGCCCATTAAATCTCTGCAAAGCAATCATTACCCTTTAATTTATCCTTTATCACAGGCAACAACACATGGTTTGCTTATATAGATTATTTCGTCCACTTTCTAATCATATTATTATTTTCTATATAGTTATTTCTTTTGGGTAATGATTCCCTGACACCTCCCCTTCTCACATTGTATATATTTATTCACCTTCGTGGCTTGACTTCATAGACTAATACAACATTATTGGAATAAGACACAGTGAGAGAGAGAGAGGGAGAGAATAAGCAGAAGACACTAATAAGTGGTTTCTTGAGCAATTTTTATAGGTCCAGTACACGAAGTCAGAAGCCAAAACCCGAGTCTTCTGTAGCGGCAAATAACAAGCCTGTTTCACCGAGTTTGTTGTTGAAGAAACTAGAGAATGGCCAAACTGTAGACGGATGGCCAGAAGGGAATCGAAAAAGAAGGTATCGAAGGAGGAAAGGTGGTTGTTGAAGGAAGAAAGTCAGTATCCCACGTCGAGACGAATCTATCATCAGTGATCTCGTTTCTTCAGGTGAAAGTTTTGTTGAAAATTAAAATCTATCGAAATGTGGCATTAAACAAATCCACCGAAAGGTGGAATTAAATCCACCGAAAATAATAAGTCAAAAAGGGTTATAATTGTTGAAAATGTGTAAGGGTAAATTACTTAATTTAGTCATTATACTTTAGGATATTTATAAAATTAGTCCTTAAGCTTCAACTATAAATATCTTAACCTATTTAGCTTCAAACCATTCCAAACCATTCTAGCTTTCTCCCAATTTTAGAGAATTTAGAGAGTTTCTTAAGAGTTGTTTTCTCCTTTTTATCAAGAGAGAATTATCATTGTTTTCTCCTTGGTAGATCGAGAGAAATTGTAATTCCTATTTTCTCATAGTGAAATTCTTCTACCGTTGTCCGTGGTTTTTACCCTATATTATTTAGGAGTTTTCCACGTAAAATTTGTGTCTTCTTTATCTTCATTTTTTATTTTCTCAAATTATTAGTTGCGATTTTGCTCTATCTGATAGTCGTCTTTCACAACAATTGGTATCAGAGCCAGATTAGAGTGTGTAATATCTATTTATTGTCTTTGTGGTTGCCACCAAAAGGTGGATCTTCAACATAAGAAAGTAAGAAGGTATTACCCATTCTTTGAATGTTCTAGAGAACTATTCACGATAATGAAATAATGAGAGCTATCCGTAATAGAAGCTATGACAACGAAATTTGATATTGAAAAGTTCAATGGGAAAAATTTCTCATTGTGAAAATTAAAGATGAAGGTCATCCTGAGGAAAGACAATTGTCTAGCAGCTATCAGTGAAAGGCCGGTAGATTTCACAGATGACAACAAATGGATCGAAATTGACGAGAATGCTATGACAAACTTTCATCTAGCATTAACAGATGAAGTATTGTCAAGCATCGAGAAGAAGAAGATAGCTAAGGAGATATGGGATCATCTCACCAAACTGTACGAGGCCACATCGTTGCACAATAAAATTTTCCTTAAGAGGAAATTGTACACTCTCCGGATGCCGGAATCTACTTCAGTGACGGAGCACTTAAACACGCTGAACACTTTATTTTCTCAGCTTACATCCCTAAGATGTACAATAGGAGAACAAGAACGTACTGAAATTCTACTTCAAAGTATACCTGATTCGTATGATCAACTTATCATCAACTTGACAAACAGTAATGTCACCAGTCTAGTCTTCGATGACATTACAACTGCTATTCTACAAGAAGAAAATCGGCGCAAGAACAAGGAAGACAGACAAGTAAATCTTCAACAAGCAGAAGCGTTGGCAACGATGAGAGGGAGATCAACGGAACGTGGCCAAAACATCAATCACAAACATGGCAGATCAAAGTCGATAAGTAAGAAGAATTTAAAGTGCTACAACTGTGGAAAGAAGGGTCACTTGAAGAAGGATTGTTGGAGTCTAAATAAAAACTCCAATACACAAGGCAATACCGCAAATACTTCAGATGATGGAGATGATCTATGCTGTGAAGCGTCAACCACCGTGGAATGTAGAACAAGATTTGCAGATATATGACTCATTGATTCGGGAGCAACATATCACATAACCTAAAGAAGAGAATGGTTCCATCAGTATGAACCTGTCTCAGGAGAATTTGTGTATAGTTGCAATGATCATGTCTTAGAGATCGTTGGCGTGGGAACCATCAAATTAAAGATGTATGATGGAACAATCAAAATTGTTCGAGATGTGCGGCATGTGAAAGGCCTGAAGAAAAATTTATTATCCTACGGATTGTTGGATAATAATGCAAGAAAGATTGAAACACGGAAAGAAATCATGAAGGTGTTTCGTGGAGCGCTTGTGGTGATGAAAGACGAAAAGATAGCAGCAAACTTGTATATGCTGAAGGGAGAGACTTTGCTAAAGGCAGAAGCCTCTATTGCCTCATGTAGTTCATATTTTGCAATGCTATGACATCAGAAACTTGGACACATGTTAGAATAAGGAATGAAAGTCCTTGTGGAGCAAAAGCTACTTCCAGGCTTAACAAAGGTATCACTAACTTTGTGTGAGCATTGCATAACAAGTAAGCAACACCGGTTGAAATTCAACACATCAAATTCTAGAGGCAAAAATGTTCTAGAATTGGTTCACTCTGATGTATGGAAAACACCAGTTACATCCCTTGGCGGAGCAAAATATTTTGTCTCATTTATTGATGACTACTCCAGAGGATGTTGGGTGTATCCTATTAAGAAGAAGTCAGATGTGTTTTCCACTTTCAAAATCTTCAAAGCGCGGGTGTAACTTGATTCTGGAAATAAGATCAAGTGTTTCAGAATAGATAATGGAGGAGAATACACAAGTGAAGAATTTGATGACTTTTGCAAGAAAGAAGGCATCAAAAGACAATTCACAGTGGCAAACACTCCTCAACAAAATGGAGTGGAAGAGCGGATGAACAGAACCTTGTTAGAAAGAACAAGAGCAATGTTGAGAGCTGTTGGCCTAGAAAAATCATTTTGGGCAGAAGCAGTCAATACCGCCTGTTATTTGGTGAATCGAGCTCCATCAACTGCAATAGAGCTAAAGACACCAATGAAGATGTGGATTGGTAAACCAGCTGATTATTCAAACCTCTATGTATTTGGAAGTATTGTGTACGTAATGTACAACTCCCAAGAAATTTCAAAGTTGGATCCAAAATCCAGGAAATGCAAATTCTTGGGGTATGCTCATGGAGTAAAAAGGTATCGCTTGTGAGATCCCACTGCCCGCAAAGTGATCATTAGCAGTGATGTTATATTTGTAGAATATAAGATACAAAAGAAAAAAGAAGATGGTAGCGCTGAAAAGTCAGAGACTACACAAATACATGTGGAAAAGGAGGTTGAACAAGGAGAATTTTCTGAAGCAGAACCATCACATGATGAACAAGAACCAGAGAGTTCTGAAGCTCCAACAACTCG